TCACATGCTCACATATAGAAAATCAACACATCCATAGATGGTTGGATTTTCAGACTCAGATTTTGGTGGATGCCAAGACTCTAGGCACTACACTCTTGGCTATGTGTATCTCCTTGGTGGAGGTGCTATATCATGGAAAAGCCAAAAGTCGCAGTTGCTTTATACTTCCACTATGGAGGCTGAGTATGTTGCATGTTATGAAGCTTCTATTCAGGGAACATGGCTGCGGAATTTCGTGTCCGAGTTTGGGGCTTTGAGTTTTGTTGACAAGCCTTTCACTCTTTATTGTGATAATCAAGCCGCAGTTTTCTTCTCTAAGCATGATGGGATATCTAAAGGAGCCAAACATATGGACCTTAAATATCTATCACTGAAACAAGATGTCAAAAGAGGAAAGTTTGTCATAGAACACATAGGCATTGATGTTATGGTTGCAGACATATTTACAAAAGCTTTACCTCCCAAGACATTTCATAAGCATGCAGAAAGTATGGGTCTTGAGGATAGCTCTTAATTACGTTGTCTGATTATGTTTAGCCTATTTTGACATTTATTTGAGATCTTTTAATGAKTTTTTACATCTTTTATTTATATTCTGTTTCCAATGTGCACACACATTATTGGTTGTTGGATTATGATAARAGAATGAGTCTTMATTTAAAGACATAAAAGGGACCATTATGATAACTCCAACTTATGTTTATGGTCTAGKTATGAAGGTAATCAGTGCAGTAGTACATGGAAGYGATCATGTTGCAAAATGATGTGCGACCGCCATGACTCCCATTGATTACTAGATTAGTCAAGACACTTATGATGACCAAATGAGGAGTAGTGAATAACATATTATGCCGGRCTTATGATTCCTTAAAAGAAAACATTAATGGATCTTACTAACGACCAAGTGYGAGARTGTAAGGAATATATAATAATARTTCCTTTTCCTATTATGTMGTCTTATATAGATCTGTTTTCTATTGGAATAAWGTTATTCCATAATATATTTGGTGTCCAATTAAATGGAAATAATGGAGTTAATTCCTAATCAATCTCTACTTTGATGGACGGTTGAGATTAATCCTAAGGAAACCCTAATGAGGAATTAGGTCCTCTTTCCACCTATAAATATGTGCCTTTAGCCCATCATAAAAGCATCCGAGTACACAACACATAAAGTTAAGTTTATAGGCAAGG